GAAGTCTTCAGTGAAATAAGGAAAACAAACAAGCGCCGCCGGATCATTCTTCATCAAGACGATGCCAGCTGTCACACATCTCGTCTAACAACCGACTATTTGAGCACTCAAAAAATCGAATTAATGGGTCATCCGCCGTACAGTCCTGATTTGATACTAAATGACTACTTTTTGTTTCCAAACGTCAAGAATAAATTGCATGGACAACGATTTTCGTCGGCAGAAGAAGCCGTTGATGCGTTCAAAGACCATATTTTGGAGGTGTCTCAAGCGGAATGAAAAAAATGCTTTGACAAGTGGTTCGAACGCATGCAAAAGTGTATAGATCATAAAGGAGAATATTTTGAAAAACAATAAATGACAAATTATTGTTTTTTTATTATTAGGCTCAAAATATAAATAGTGACCCTCGTATCAACACACGAAATATTGGCGGTCATTCTGGGACACCCTGCATATGTTTGAAATAGTATAAAAAGGACTATGCCCACAGTTTTATAGGGGAATTTGGGCCTCGGATGAACAACTTTGAGACATGCCTAAAATTTTAAGCTATTAAAAGAGAATAAACAATTCCATAAGCCCAACTTTATAGGAGAAGTTTCCTAAGTGCTAGAATTATTCAAAGTTTGCTATTATGACCATGTACTAGTCTTATCCAATTTCTCTGCGTCCAGGGTACCTCCCCGCGGTGACGGCGGTAACGGATTGTACCAAAGATATTGAAATAATATCTAAAATGTACTTGGTACAGTTCATTAATCCGGCTAAGTTCCTGGTCGCGATTTATGCCGTCATGTCACAGAAATTCGGATTTGCTTGTAATGACGACGATGCCCCTGGAGTTCGTACTGATGGGAGGGAGATGGACAAGCGGCGAATGTACCAATCGGCGGGGTAAACCAATCTTTGATACGGAGTCACCCCGAAGCAGCTACTGGTCGCGATGAGATCCACTGTGGGCAATGTGGAAAATATTTAAAAAACCAGTCGCGTAAACATTTGTTGGCTGCGGAAATGCTAGATTTCTTGGAACAAGAGCCTAGTAGTTCTACAAGAGCCCCACTCAATACATTTAAATATGTATGTCATGTCTGTTGGTGCCATTATAAAAGAAAACTTACTGAAGATGGAAACGTTACAGTTAAAAATACTGAACCGCAGCCTCTTTGTCAAATCAATTAAAACCTTTTGTTTCATACTTTGAGTGTCTCTCTCCCCTCTTCATTAATGTATATTACTTATAATTATTCATTTTTTTTCCCCCAAAAAAGGGTTTAGTTGTCTTTGTCAAGATTGGACATCTTCCAGATACCAGATGATTTGAGAAATCGAATAAAACCAGTCCTATATGGTACATAATACATGGTCATAATAGCGAACTTTGAACAGCTGTAACACTCAAGGGACTCATTTTACAAAGTTGTGCATATGGAACGTTTTAATCCTTTTTTTATGCTCTACAATCCTAGCTAGGTCTCAATGCTATTCAGCCGGGGCCCAAACTGAGCATAGACCTTTAATTATATTGAGATATAAATATCTCCATTTTATTTTATGTGTTTCAAATAAAATAAAAATTTATATTGAGATGTAAACATCTTTATTTTATTTTCATGAACTAGACGAGTACATCAATCATCATGTCACTAGAAATGATTCGACATTGTAATGGTCACGAAGATGCTATGGATGCTTTTCTATTAAGCTCATCGTCAATAATCAGCTTAGTAAAACTGCTTTTGCATCGCGTATATTGGAGACAAAAATCCATTTTGGTGGAATCGGTCATCCATGATTGGACTTACGTGAAAAATTCTCGCTTTCGTGATATCATGTTAAAGTATGCTCGCATAGGTAGGCTGGGCTCTTCGATATTCTTCTGTTTAGGTTGCGCCTCGGTGGTATCTTTCGTCTCCAGTGTCGTGCTAGCCAATATCAATTTGCCCTGGACTTCTGAAAAGCACATTTATAACGAAACCAATGAAAAGAAGCTGATGTTAGCGGCCTATTGCACCTTTGGAAAATACTATACATCTTTTTTCACCTATTGCGCTGTCGAAGTTTTGCAGTTCGTTCAAATCCTCGTTAACGGCATCTCGCAATGCGGAAACGATGGGTTCTTTTTCGATCTCACAATGCACATGTGTGGACAATTTGCAATTCTTCGTATGAACTTCAATACATTGGGTTGCGACGAATTTTCCTGCTGTAGCAAACTTGACATCCTGTTGAAGAGACATTATCGCCTCGTATATTTATCGCATTATTTAGAGAGAGCATTCACTCTAGTCATCTTGGCACAAATTTTAATGAGTGTTGTTGTCTTATGCGTCGAAGGTAATTATTATTTTAAACTTAAACAAACTGTAATCAAATTTATCGTTACTTTGAAATTTATATTTATTTAGTATGTTATAAGTGACATAGAATAAATAAAAGAACAAATATAATTTTATTACTTTTAGAACAATAAATAAAGAATTTGTAACTATTTTAAAGTTCTTATTATATTCGACATTTTTTTTCCAGGATTTCTTTTACTTCTTTCACTTGAAATAAATGATGTTCTTACCGCTGCAAAACATGGAGTCTTTATTATTTCACTGTTAGTCCAACTTTTTCTTTATTGCTTCGCTGGACAGACGTTGGAGTTCCAATCGAAAAAATTAGCCTATGCAATTTATGAATCACCGTGGTACACTTTTGATGTGAATGTGATGAAGAATTTACCATTGATAATTCTTCGAGCAGCCAGTCCTCAGCAATTAACTGCAGGAAAATTCGTAGCAATAAATTTTATGACTTTTAAGGAAATTTTAAAAGCTTCCGCCTCATATTTATCTGTATTAAGGGTAATGATAAAAACGTGAGTAAAAATTCTTTTAGGAGAAAAGTAGATGGTTTAGTTTCTTTTTTTTTTATAAATGACTTTAACGATGTAATTAATATTTTTTAAACAATTGTAACTAATTTACAAGTTTTTTTCTATAAATAAAGATGTGTATTAACGAAATAGAGCAAAATTGTATTACTATTATGTTTATTGTGAGATATACACTATTGGCAAAAGCATTGTCACTACTTATTTAATACTGTGTTGATCTTCTATGTGCTGTCAAATCCTCTCTTGTCCTACCAAGCATGAATTCTACGAGAATACCTCTAAATGTGTCCATTAGAATCTCCTGCTAAAACATTAACAACAGTTTCTTTAACTCAGTATTGATGAAGGCGAGGTACACTCCTTCATGATAACTGTTTTCTATGATGACAGCGAAATCTTTCAGCAAGACAACGTTCCCTGCACAAGTTGCTCAATAATGGTTTGAGGAACATGAGAAATACTTCATACTTGTGTCTAGTCACTAAATTCATCCTATCTCAGTCACATTGAGCATTTATAGGATATATTGGACAAACCAATTTGCTCCATATAACTCTTTGTAACTTACAATAGTTTAAAAAACTGCTAACTGTTAACATCTTGGTAGCAGATTCTAATGAATACATTTAGAAACCATATGGAGTCCATGTCTGATATAAAAGCGCTAGCAGAACATACAGGATCAACACAATATTAAGCAAATAATCACATTTTAGCTCATCAATGTAAATACGAAAGAGTTTTAAGAAGATACATAAAATAATATTAAATCATAATGTTACAAATAAAAATTAAAAAACATTTTATTTTAATAATTATATAATGTTCGATACAGTTCTTATTGAATTGCATTTATCATGATAAGTTGAATATATGTATAAAATTATTACACTGTGTGTGAAACAATAAAATTAATAATTTCACCAAATGTACTTCACCAAATATTTCTATGGTAGAAATGACAATGGAAGTAGAAATGTAAAGACATGTAAAGACATATAAAAAGACATACACACCGATCTCTTTACTCACTTTGTCCGTAAAAGAAGAGTTTCTGCGCAAGTTAATAAAACATGAGTTCGGTAAAATAATAAGTTAATATGGTGCTATTGATAACTTATAATAGCGACTGAATGATAGTAAATCGATGGTAATTTGGCAAAATTTAGTTTGTAACAACTGAACGAAGTAGTTTCGAATAAGCTATCATTCGAGTTCTTCCGCTTGCCAGAATGACGAATAAACGTTGGAACGATGACATCGCTTACGTTTTCTCTACTCATAGACTATTCTTAAAAGTATACGGTTTGTGGCCATTACAGAAACAGACAGTATTCACGAAGATACAATGGGGTTTTTGTTTGATTGCACAGGTACGTTAATGCAAGAGGGATGGTAATATAACGTACATTTAAAGAATATCATGGGGGAAGTCTAAAAACTTGCAAAGTAGTTATAGTGAGAAAATTTTTTCCAAATATTTAATGATAATTTCAAAATATATAATTTCTTCTTTTAACATTTTATTTTTTTAGCATTTTATTTTTAAAATTTTTTAATTTAAAATTTTATTTTTCTGTTAGACAAGTTTATGCTTATAATAAAAATAAAATAATTTATTGCAAGTTATTCCTTTATATTTATTAGTATTTGCTTTAATACTAACTATTATTCAGTTTATGATACTACCTTGTCTGACGACGGAGCTCGTCTGGAGCAGCAAGGACGCCAGTTCAAATATAGAAAGTATAACGTTCTTTGCGTCTACGTCGACTGGAATTATAAAAAATCTGTGTTTTATTGTCAGTCAAAAGAGGCTGAGTATTAACATTAACGCTGCTATTGATGATTGGTTATCTGTTAAAAATAATGGGGAAACTAGGAAGATTATGAAGAAGTATGCAGTTAAAGCCAAAATACTCACTTTTACATTATTATACTCGTTGTATGTATGCCTAGGCATGTACATAGCAGTCGTCATATTTATTAATCTGAAGCAGATATTCTCCACAGACATGAATTTAGTGAATGGTAAAATTGTATTTGTTATGTGGTTCATAGTTATGTGGTTCATAGTTAAAACATTTTTGTATTTGTGTTAAACCTTCCTTGTCAAAATTTTTAACATGTCGAGTGTTAATTTTACATGATATTATTGTATTATTTAAATATTTTCATTAAATTAATTCTTAGCGTTACATATTTTATGAGTAAATGATCAAACAACATAAAAATAATTTATTTTAAAACATAAATTCTAAATGAATAAAATATGTTAATTTAATATTTTCTAAATGTTAATTTTACTAAAGAAGTATGCTTCTACAATTTTCTTATAAATTGCATTAGTGTTACATTTCGTGTGTTAATATTTACATAATATTTGTATTATTTCCTAAAACATTTATTTTATGTTAAATTAACACGAAGATTTGGATGGGCCATTTGATAAATGAATGTGTTAATTAAATTTAAATTTAAATTAAATAAAATTAAATATAAGTTTAAAAATTTGATACAAGTTTTCCAAGTATATAGCATGCTTTACTTAGTTTGGTAATCTAATTATAAACTAAATTATATGATAATATTTTGTTTTTTTTTATTTTTGTGATGTGCAGTTAATACAACAGATTGGTTACTTTTGGTTCCATCTGGTCCACTGAGTCAGTTGATTACTGGTCCACAGTATGCGATAATCCTGACTATCCAGATTGTTCAATCATGCATATTATCTTTTTTATTATTTACCGTGGATAGTTTCTTCTTCAACGTTACAATACATCTCACCGGTCAACTCAAGGTGCTTAAAAACAACTTCAAAACATTTACGAACGAGTCGAACACCGAAGCAAATTATCGAAAAAAATTCGTTAACTTGGTTAATAGGCACAGCCTGTTAATGGAATTGTATCAAAATTTGGAAGATACTTTTCATTTTCTTATATTATATCAAATTGTGATAGTGACGATTTTGCTTGCATTAGTAGGTAATGTATATCAAAGATTTTTTTCCGCATTTATATTAACAATCTAACATCTACATACGTATTTGTATAAAAATTGAAGAAATTGATATACATTTAAATTTAATACATTTTATCACATTTAATTTAATAGTCACACGGTGTATGTTCAAAACTTGAACATATTCGTATATCTTTTAAAATAAAATGCTTATTTTTAGGATTGCGTTTAAATATTTGTATAAACGAAAAAAATCATGTTGAGGCGATAAAGAGTTTTTTTGTCTTGAACTATTTAATAATGCAATCGTTGGTATATACCTATGGTGGTGAATTCTTGCAAAAGGAAAGCGAAGACATATTCTATATGTTGTACACAACTTCCTGGTTCACACTTCCTGCAGCATTGATGAAAGATGTGCATTTTGCAATGATGAGATCGAGTATTCCATTTCGTTTAACCGGCGGAAAATTTTTTTATGTTAATCGCGAGACGATGATGTATGTCCTTAAGACAGCGGCCTCATATATTTCAGTTTTAAGAATAGCGCTACGAAAGTAATGTTAATCAGTATAGCACTGATATGGGTTTTGAGATCTTATTACGAAAACTGATGTTATGTAATGTACATATACCATATAGGCAAATATGTTTGATTAAAAAATATTTTAAGACATACGTTTTGACTTTTATACTATAAAAAAAAGCCAATTGTTTGATTAAATTAAATTGTTCAACATTTTTGTGATATGTTAATCAATAGAAGAATTTACAAATTAACTGAATTTTACAAGATTTAATTTCGTGATTCATACGCAATTTATATCAAGATATATTGTTTAACTCTTTCATTGCTATAGACGTGTAAACACGTCCAGCAAATAGCCTTTTGTGAGCGTTAAGAATTATTTATACTAGTCATATATACTATTAATTTATTTACTAAACTACTTATGTACTAAATATTTAGCTACTTTAGCAAATTCGATCTTTCCGTGCAGTTATTTATTATAACTTTTCTTTATGAAGACACACGATTTGATCGAATGTGACGTAGTTTCGAAATTGTTTGTATATTGTTTGTATCAATTAGTCTTAGCCTTCTTTTTCAACTTCTTTACAATATCTTTTTATTTTTAGGACTATTTATTCTAATGTTCTCACTTTACAGCAGCTTTTTTTGTACATATTATGTTAATATTGTTTTCTACTTCCACAAAGGATTTTACTGAAGAAATTTAGAGATATAAAAGTATGAGCTCTATAAAGAATCATTAGTAATAATATTGTGGATGATTTTTCACCATTATTGCTTAGTTTATAAAAATGTTATGTTCATCAAGTATCATATTTGTGCTACAGTTTTTTATTATCTTCACTTTATTTCCATACATAACATTTTTCAATTTTATTTATCTTCCTGGAAAGAATAAATCGTTTCTCCCCTCAGAAAAAGTTGATAGAACAATAATTCAAGAAACTGTTTTATTGTTGGTGCTATACATTTTTTATTTATTAATAAATGCAACTTAAATGACTGTAACCTATTATTTCCTATTATTTCAAACCTATTATTTCAAAGACAAAGTAAGTATCTTCGAGAACAATGTCGTGTATAACCATATTATTCATACATATGGACAAATAATACATATGGAAATGCAAGCTATACTTGGATTCTTGGAAAGTTAAAGGAAATGTTAAAAGATGTAAATAATAAATCAGAAATCCAGGAAAGTTAGTTTCACGAGGGGTTGTCGCAGCAAAACAAATGTGTTGTAGTTATCGAATATCACCACAATGTAATTATTGTGAAGAAACGAAGGACTACATTCTTTTTTGAGGAAAAGTCAAACTGAAGAGAAATTCAGTGTAATATAATTTCAACAATTATCGAATGAAATAAATTGAAAGAAATTATCACAATCTGCAGGTTTTAAAGTTGAAAATGGGATTGACTATAGAGTAGAATGCTGAAATTTCATATGTTTTAACGCTTTGTAAATATCTTCTTGGTATACTTGGTACACCTGGAATATTATGGGTGCTCGATAAAGAAAATAAATATATTTTCGAGAATTCGTTGGTTTATGTCGACGGTAATAGAAGTAAGTTGTAACTTTCAGTCATTACTAAAAAAATTTAGATTTAACTTTTATTTTGCTTTCTTGTTTACGTATAATGTTTAATGTTTTTGTCTAATTTGAAATAATAAATTTTATCTAAATAAATATCACAATTTGCTTAATTTTGATGATGTATTACATAACAAGCTGAAACATTTGATAAATATTAAATTAGGTTACAAAATATAGGATTTGGCAGAAAAATCTTTTTATAATAATTGTAGTTTTGCCGTTAGAAAGAATTACATTTTCAATGATGTTCAAAAACATATAGGGGGAAGTTGCCTATATCGTACCCCCAAACATTTAAACAAAATTGTAACAATAACTAAAGAGATCAGAATATTTCTGTACTTACATTAAACTTTGGTTCATTGGCAATAAAACAAAACGATACTTTTACGAAAATAAACATTAAATTATTGTTTAAATTAGATTTTTAAAAAAGTAGCTTTCGGTACGATTTGGAGACCGGGTCGTTAAATTGTTCCACCTGATTCCTAAATCGTACTTCTAATGTAGTAAACAAGCTAACATTGCTTATTGTTATTTTGACATTAAAATAACATCTTTAACGTCAAAATGACGGTAAATAACGTCAGTTTGTTTATTGGGAAAATAAACAAAATTAATTTTAAAACTCATTTATTAATAAATTTATTTTTAATTTCAAACTGAGTATACATATTTAAGTAGGTATAATAATAATTTTTCTATTATAAAAACATGCTTTTAGCAACTTATTGTCGTTTTCGGAAGTAATACTCCAGATAGCACATTATATTCTGAGAATATACTAAAAAGGTCACGTCTGATATTCGTATGATATTTCTATGTCCGCAACAACATTGTTCGCAGTATATCCTCAGAATATCGAGATGATTTTTCGAAAATTTTCCTTGAGAATATGTAAGAAATATCTATTAAAAATAATATTCTTTGCTCTATAACAGAATATTATTTTTAATAGATATTTCTTACACACTCTTAATGAAAAATTTCGAAATTCATCACGATATTCTGAGGATATACTGCGAATGATGTTGCTGCGTGCATAGGAATATCATACGAATATCAGACGTGACCTTTTTAGTATATTCTCAGAATATAATGTGCTATCTGGGACGTCTATCGTTTTGTTGAAGTCCTGCAGACATTACAAATCCTTGTCAACTGTATATTTCGCAATGCGAAAACGATGGATTTTTCTTTGATCTCACGATGCATGTATGTGGACAGTTCGAAGTTCTCAAAGTGGAATTCTTTGAAATAGAAAATAGCAAAGAATTGCAATAGACTTGGTATCATGTTAAAGAGACATCATCGCTTCAGATATTTAGCTCATCTGCAAAACGCATTCAGTTTGGTTATCTTATTTCAACTTTTAATGAGTGTGATTTTATTATGCGTTAAAGGTACATTTTATCTCCAATAAATCGAAATCCAATTTACTTTGTGATAAAACTTTAGTAACAGAATAATATAACTACATTATTCAGTAATAATTTTTGTATCATGTATAAAAAATGAAGATATGAAATAATGTTTCCTTAAGGGAATCTTAAAGTGAAGCTCGAACTCCGATGAGATCGCTGTTTTACCGATAAAATACAACACATCGACATATTTTTACACCATCGATATCGCACTCACACATCATACGTACAAATTTTCTAACTAATCTTTCGTATTAAGTATCTAAACTTATTTCTAAGTACTTAGCATTAGTTGTTCACGTAATCTCTAGTCGAAATCAAGATTGTTTTGTACGTACGAAGTATAAAACTCGTATATAAAGCAAACATTATTACGAGTCGACGTTAAAAGTCGGTAAACTGTAATTTTCCATCTATTTTTCGTTTTTGGCATAAAGCTGACCGGTTTGGATTACATTATTGTTTATACTTTAATATGAAGAAGGATTTATTAATCTGTAAAGGCAGTTAGAAAAATACTTGTTTGAAAAAATTAATAAAATAGATTCACTTTAGGAATTCCTGCTCCAACTTAATTCTGGTTTAATTACAGAATAGGCGTACAAAATTTGTTACAAGATTTACAAGAAGTCTTAAACTTACCGATAATTATTGCATGTATATAGTTCATTATCGTATTTCAGGTTTTCAGTTAATCCTCACGCTTTCGATGCATAGCACATACGTTACATAAAACATGTCCTTTTTATCGTTGTTTTGTTGCTGTAGCTATTTCTCTACTGTTTCGCCGGACAGACGTTGGAATTACAATCACAAGGACTAGCTTCTGTGATTTATGACTCACCATGGTACAATTTTGATTTAAACTTGATGAAGAATTTGCTGTTAATTGATCCTTCGATCAATCAATCCTCATCGATTAACTGCAGGAAAGTTTCTGGCAATAAATTTCGTAAACTTTAAGGAAATTCTGAAGGCTCGTACTTCCATCTCGTATTTATCAGTATTAAAGGTAATGCTAGAAACGTGAGCAAAAGGGAATTCTTTCAAGAAAAAGATATTTTTATCTTTTATCGCGTAACCTTATCTTAATTATACAAGAAATATGTGACAATCTTGTGTTTCGCGGGTTTTCTCCGTGTTCAAATCCATTCTTGGAATGCCAAGAATGGATTTGAACACGGAGAAAACCCGCGAAACACAAGATTGTCATATAGGAAACACCCGTGAAAGCCTCAAGAATACAAGAAATATGTTTTTAAAATGTAACACTTCCTAAAGAAATTATTTTATGTATTTATTTTCTACTACTACCTTAGGAAAATTTACTTTAAATAAAGTTAAGGTTTTTTAAAAAGTAATAAAAAGTTTACACAAAAATTTTTGAATTAATTTATATAGTGTAAAAAGTTAATCTAAAATAATCTTAGATAATTTCTAAGAATTAAAAAGTCAGTTTTTAAAAATAATTTTTAAAATTATATTTCCATTGTGAAATATTTCCATTGCATGTGGAATTTTTAAGTTTTTAAGCTTTAAAATAGACTATTGAGGGAAAACAACCAAGTGAACCTCTCTGATTTAAATGAGCTTTTAGTATGTTGTCCTATGGACAAAAATAGGAGACACGTATTTTTTTATACGTGCTGAGTCGCATGTTAAATGGGCGAAATCCTCTCTTGAAAAAAGTCGATTTTTTTCTTTCAAATTGAATATCGTCCAAACTGTAAGAGATAGAAAAAAATTTTTAGAATGAAAATTGAATGGCATTAAGAGTACTTTAGAACTATAATAAAAAAATATTGTTTTAAATTATTTATTTATAATAAAAATTATTTATCTATAAAGAAAAAAAATTTTTCATTGTAGTTCTAAACTCTTAATGCCATTCAATTTTCATTCTGAAAATTTTTTTCTATCTCTTACAGTTTTGACGATATGCAATCTGAAAAAAAAACCGACATTTTTCAAGGGGGGATTTGACCCTCTTAACGTGCGACTCAGCACGTATAAAAAAATGTGTCTCCTATTTTTGTCCATAGAACAACATACTAAAAGCTCATTTAAATTTGAGAGATTCATTTGGTTGTGTTCTCTTGTAAGTCAACAAAGCAAGACTAAGCCGTTATATGTGTATAGTCGATTCTTATATTTGAGACTGTCTTAAATACAGTCTAAAGATGTCATGAATCACTCAGAAAGTCGCGTTAGAATGTTAAGATTTTACTTTAGACGGTCTTAAAATAAGAACGGACTATGAATACTGGACTATGAAACAGATGAACAGAGAGGTAAGTTCAATGCGTAGTGTCATTATTTAGGTCGTGATCGTTCACAAATATTGACAGGCTGACAAAGAGTGCGTTCCGTATCATGTACGATGCGCATAATGTATCATTTTATTTTTGTAATTCACCAAATATTCAAGTAGAATAAAATAGGAAGGTAACCTTTTCAAAAAAAAGGCGCCAAGTGTGCATGTACCTTCCATAAAAAACTGTACTTTACATAAACTAAAAAAGAACCGTTACATAAATAATATAGTTCAAGTGGTAATGTTGTAAATTTTTTATTATAAATTACCCCTCAGTAGTACGTATACATGTATTAAAAAAGAAATGAAATCAAATCTTTAAATTACGCCAATTGCAAAACGAATATATAATTTCTTGCAACATATAACATATACTATTGTATTTT